GCCTAGGAGATTGTTTGTTGCTGCTATTTAATATGCAAATTTAGTGTTTAAAATTATTGCTGTATAATATTGCTGTATATGTAATATATAAAAGTACATGTAATACATAAAACTATATGGAATATATATAAAATATATGTAATATTCACAATATGTTTATAATTACTGCCTTTTGAATAATGGTAGTGGAGATTCTTGGTAGAGGGCTGTCCAAAGAATATCTTAGTGTGGATCATTTGCTCACCTGAGTTAACATAAGGTGCTCTTTGCCTGCAACTTGATGCTTTTCACAGTTAGACAAAGCTGAAAATACAGAGAGATTGAACTAACTATGGAGAAAAATCTCCTTGAACTGATTTTTGGTCAAGAAGCTCTGAGCAATATGATCTAGTGAAGATGTTCCTACTTATTGCAGGGGCCTTGGACTAGATCACCTTCCAACTGAAACTGTTCCATGAAGCTTCTGCAGTTGTAGTTCTAGAATGATAAAGCTCCCACACCTTTGATTACAAGGTCACTTGTAGTGTTGGCCTCGTGACACAAAATGCTAAGCTGAGATGCTGTACCCTGACTGCAGCTGGCATGAGGCAGGTGTAAGGACTGTATTGAGCTTTGTCTAAATTTACTCATGTGCCTGTCTCTGATCTAGTTTGAATGACCAAGAGATCTGGGGGTTTGTGCCTTCTGTGTTTATGCTGACCACTGGCTCAAGTCTTGCCTGTCTGTGCTTAAGTGATCTCATGGTGATCCTGAAACAAACAACAAAAAGTCACAAACTCCTAAAACCTTGATTTTGCCTTTCTGAGGTTTGCAATCACCTGATTCTGCACAGACTGACCCAAAGAGGGTGCTCAAAATCCATTCTTTAGCCCTGGATTGAAAACACTTCATGGCTTGCAAGTTGTGCTCAACACCTTAATGAGAACAATGAATTTAAATGGGAAGGAGTTTGCGAAATTAAATTAAAAAACAAAACCACAAGACTGTTGTGAACTTTTCAAATCTCCAATGGGGGACAAAAATTGTAGGAGAGTGCAGGTGAAAAAGCATGCACTGCTTTGAGCTATGCACAGCTGGAATATAAGATTTGAGCAGTTCATTTTACTTTCTTCTATAGCACTTATTCTTTTTGCAGTCTGTAATGATGCTGTGATGGCAGGAAAGTGTAGACATTTCCTTGTCTAAATTTTGAGACTGATTTTAAAATAGTATCTTAAGCTTTTAAAATTAAGTTTAATTGCAACCTTGGAGAAACTAAGTACCTTAGTAGAGCAACAGCAGCAAAACCACCAGTTCATGGGTGAAAATATGTTCTGGGTAGTTAGTCTGACCCTGCCATTGGGAAAAACAAGCTATGAAAATTAGCTCCTACCACGTACTCTCTTAGGCCTCAGGTGTTGGAAGCAGGCATGCTTGGTATTTGCAAACTGGTTATGACTAGTAATTGCAGGTGTTGTCAGGATGCAGAGTATTTCCAGGAAGTTTCATTAAGGTGGTTTTGAGTATTGTCATATTAAACTGCATATTTGTGCCCTATGTGGTATAAAATCAGTTAGGCCTCAAATTACTGTTTGTAGAGCTGGAGTTTGTTTAATGCCTGTAAATTACACAGATAAACCACTTTTCTTGCTGCATCTTTCATTGCTTTTCTTCAGGTGGAAAACACATTGCCTCAAAGGATAGCCATTTCTTTACAAGACTTTCTTCATAGATTCAGAGTTCATAAAGAAATTAATTTTAAATTTTTTTCTCCAGATGGTTCTCCACCTCCCTCACCTCCTGCCCCTTAGTTTGTTTGCTTCAAGTTAACTGGCCAACATCAATTTCTATATTGCCTTAACAAGGAGAGACAAGACACATCTTTGTTGATACTCATGCATGGTTTTTTATTTCAGAAATAATTTTTTCCCCGTATAACTTTGTCTTAAATGTAAAAAAAAAAACCTTAGGAGAATTCCTGCAATAACTTTGTCATTTTTAGGCTCTGACATTAAAGTTCTCGAAGATCAATTTGATGAACTAATAGTAGAGACAGCACTAATGCGTAAACAGTGGCCCAAAAAGATACTGGTCTGTGCTACCCAAACCATGAAAGCTGAGCAAGAGATGTTGGTGAGTAACCTAACATTTTCAGAAAACCTCTGCATACAGTAGCTGCTGACCATGTCTAACTTGAAGGACTAAATCATCCAGTGTCGACCTTTAAGCTCCTTCCTGTGATTCTTTGTCATATAATGGGATTGGTTTTTTGTATTAATTGGCTTTTTGGTAAAATGAGGGTTGCTACAAAGCACTGTGCTTGTGACTGAGTCTGGTGTGCAGCACAGTTCAGCAAGTTACTTAGGGATTGCTCCAATGTGGTGACTTATGACTTAGAAGCCAATAGGCACCTGTTTATCTTGTCACATCCGGAGTTTCTGAAGTCCTTGCCTGAAGACTGGTTGAATTATTAAATGTTAGACTACATACATTAGATAGTACCGTGTGCAGTATATCACTGCTAAAAAAAAAGGTGACTTTGAAGCCCTTTTTTTGAGCTCGTAACTGCATCGAGTAAGTACTTTAAGTAAAGAAAGGAGGAAGTAGGCAGTGTGGATTAATGAATAAGTGCAGTAATTTCTGGGGAGTTTAGTTTTTTGACACTCGGTGCAAAGTGATTACTGACATTAAACAATCTAATCATGTCCTTGGTTGCTGGATTCATTCCCTGCAGTTAGATAAGGCCTGCCTTTTGCTTGCCTCCTGATTAGTTAGGAGATATATTTCTTTGGAAAAAAAAAAGGACTAGAGGCAAAGTTGCCCAGTGAGTCTGTGGAGTCTTCAGCCTTGGAGAGTTTCAAAGAGATACTCAAAAGTTGACTGGATGGGGCTCTGAGCAACCTGCTCTAGTTGGCCCTACTTTCAGTAGGGTATTGAGAGACCCTTTCCAACTTCAACTGTTCTGTAGGAAAGAAGACAGGGATATTTTTAGAAAGTTAAGAGCCAGCATTGGATTTCTGAGTTCTAAAACTGACAAACATTAATTCTATAGGTTAGCCAGGAAGAGATGATTTACAGTAAGGAAAAGCACATGGGTACATATTTGTCTTACACCTGATAGATTTTTCTAGTGTATATTGCCCTTTGTGTTCTCTGTTTTATCAGTACATCAAGCAGGTAAAGCAAACCAAAAAAATCAACTGGAATAAAATATTCTAGTGCCTAACACCAAGATTTATCAAGACCTTTTAATCTTTCTGCAAATAGAAAGCTCTGTTCCCTGAGTCCCACTGTGGATTAGTTATTTAGGATGCCTCTCACATTGCCTTTTTTCCTCTTGCTGATCTCTTCAAATTTTAAACCACCACCACCAGATGATTATTTTAATTAAAAGTGAAGAAATATACACTCTACACTTTCTGTATACATATGCTTCCTATATGCAAAGTATAGAAAGTTTATCTCCATAAGAGTATATAGAAATACATGTAAGAAATACAGAAACTTTATTTTTTCTCTGTAAATGAAATGTCTTTTTCCCTTCTCTCACCCACTTCTGCAAAAGTACTAGTGGTTTATCTGCTTTTGGTTGAGGATTTTTACTTTCTTCCTTGACCCTAGCTAATCCTGTGATGCATCTTTTCGTAGACATAAAGAGCAACTGTGAAGATGTGGTTTATCTGGAGAGAACCACTCATTTATTGTAGTGTTTCTCCTATAATTGCCAAAGCAAGAGATCATCCTGTGGATTTTCAGTCAATATGTTCTGTAGTGTTTGAGGCTAATGCAAGCAGTGTTTGTTCTTCTGCTTGGAGCTATTACTGTAAACTTGCTAAGAAGGTGTATGAACTGTGAAAATTTTTCTCTGGTAAGACTACATAGAGGAATAATGAACCTTCCTCCTACTTGCTTTTGCTTGAAGAAGTTTGAGGGACAGCTGCTGAAGTGGAGAACACTAACTTGCAGATGATACAACTTTTATTCCCATACCTTTTTGGAGCAAGTCCAGAGGAGGCCACACAGTTGGTAAGAGGACTGGAGCATCTCCCCTATGAGGACAGGCTAAGGAAGTTGGGTCTGTTCAGCCTGGAGAAGAGAAGACTACATGGAGACCTCAGAGCAACCTTTCAGTATCTGAAGGGGCTACAGGGGAGCTGGAGAGGGACTCTGTGTTAGGACCTGCAGTGATAGGACAAGGGGTAACAGCTTCAAATTGAAGGAGGGGGTATTTAGGTGAGATAGTAGAAAAGTGTTTTCCTGTGAGGGTGGTGAGACACTGAAACAGGTTGCCCAGGGAAGTATTGGATGCCCAACCCTGGCAGTGTTCAAAGCCAGGCTGGATGAGTAACCTGATCTAGTGGAGTGGTGTCCCTGCCCATGGCAGAGTGGATTGGGACTAGATGATCTGTAAGGTCCATTCCAACCCCTAAAATTTTATGATTCTATGATATTTGCTTTGTTTCCTTCTTCCCTGTTAGTTAATTCTAATTCCACCTTTAATATAACTATTAGTTATATTTAGTGTTCATTTACTTCATGTCACACTTAACTGATGTCAAGTCACAAGACTCACAGGTTGTGAAGCAGAGTGTTCTTACTTTTGCACAAGTAGTTACAGGGCTAGAATATAGTCCTTTAAGTAGTTTTGTTTTTCTTAGCTTTCTGTCTTAATGTCCCCTTTGTTGGAGTTTGTGCCTCTGTGAAAGCTCTGGTTTTGTGCATGGCTCCGTAGAGGCCAGAGAGCTCACTTTCCTTAGTCGTGCAGCAGGTGGCAATGCTTCTTCCAGAATGTCTGGATTTCAGTTCTCATGCTTTGATAATTAGAATTCTGCAAGCTAAAGCAGATTTTGGAGATGTGTTTACAGTGAACATAACTGTGTTGACCAGAACACTATGTTCAATAACTGAGTGTCTGTGAACTGCACGTCTTAATACATTATTGATCTAAATAATTCCACCACCACCTCTGTTGATCTGACTGCTATGTGTGTATTTTTTAATATGCAGAAGCTCTACCAGCCTGTGGTAACAACAGAAGAGATAAGGCCTCAGCCATCTCAAGGTAAAGATACCATGGGGAGGGCACCTGTACTGAGGAAACTCTACTGCCTACTTACTGGCTAGCTGTAAATGTTGAAGAAGTTTTCTTTCTTTAAACTTGTTTAAAATTATTGACTGTTTAAACAATTAACTAAAATAGCTAGAAGTTTGTCATAAATGAATGTGTTGCTGCCTCAGTTTTATTGTGTTCATTTCTCTTGTTCTAAGTGCTGCCTGCACTTAGGCATGTACTTAAAGGCCAAATCTGGCTGTTTTGTGTGTGTGTTGTGTAGAAATTGTCACAGAGCTACCCTCAGTAGGTTTCCTTACTTCTCTCCTTCACCACTGCTGGAGGCCAGATGGGGAACTGGATGGATCACTGACATTATACTTTGACCATTCTTGTGTTCCTTAAAAGGAATATTAGAAATGCTTCAATCTCTCTTCCTAATCAGTCAGTTTCTCCAGGGAATTGAAAGCAGTTGTGTAGTACTTAGTGATTGCAATGTTCACTCTCCTAACTTGCAAAGTAGGTCCCAACTTTTATCCTGCCTGTGTCATTTGTAAGGGTTAATGAAGAAACTGAAATGCAAACGAGGTCACAAGTTTGCTGCATGCTTTTGAAAGATGCTTTGTACAGACTCCTTGGGAGAAAGTGGTGGATTTTGCAGTGGCTGATTGGAATGTGCCTTTTTTAGGCTGGCCTTAAGAAATTGAAAGTTTTGTGTTGCCTGTTGTTAAGTATTGAAAAATGACAGAATGTACCAGTGCAGTTCTGTGTTGTACAGACTGGTTACAGAACCCTCACTGTGGGTTACTGCACATGATGTAAAGCTGGTGTAACAAGCAGTGGTGCTAAAAGCTTGAGAAGCTGAGCTTAATCTTGTAGTTCTTACCCTGCTGATCTGACTTCATTCTAGGCATCATTTCCTCTTTGTAAACAGGAGGCATTGCTTCCAGAAATGCCAGCCTGTGCAGCAAAGCAGCTAGTGGGAGCAATAAAATGTCACTGCATATCTGAGTTCCTTTTGGTTTCTAGTATCCAGATCTATGCTTTTCTGATGCTAATGAACTACTTCTTGTAAGTTAATAACAGCTTGCACTATGGTATTGCCTTTTTAGGTTTGGTAACAGCAAAGTTGTAGCAAGGATAGGATGGAGTTTGTGCTGAATTTTAGCATTATGTAGTCTTTGGGAAGTTTGTGTATCCCAGTTTAGCAAGTACAGTGGCCAGAAACCAAAAATGTTTAGATTACTCAATACCTTTCATTTCCTTTTTTCATTTCCCTATGTTTTGGAAAGCCTTGAATGCTGAAGAATATAATGCCATCTATGTCAAGCTGAACTCCTGCAGGCAAATTTCTTTAACTGTGTGTCACTCTTTCTGTATAATAATCCAAATGACTATTTCTACTTTTACTTAACTCCTTCCTTGCCATTTCATGGGATCACCAGTCTTCTCATCCCAATACTCTAGTGTAAGGAAGCTTCATTATGGACATATCCTTCTTTTAGAGAATGTCCTTCTGTAGGCCCCTGTGCTGTGTTTAAAGAGGCTGCTGTTGGACTGCTTAGTCTTCCAAACTGAATGATGGTGCATTTTACTATTCAGGTTCATACATGGGTCACGTGTTCCTAAACCATGTCTGATCAGCGCATTGGGCACGGGGACAGTTTAACAAACGCTGTCTCTTGCTGTTTACCACATTTCAGCAGGGATCACTGTCAACCTTGTGCTAGAATACAGTGATTGACTTAAATTATCTCCAGTAGCACTAATGAGACTGACTTCAAAGCAGAATGCTGTGTTTAACCCTGACAGGGTTTAGGGGTGTGTGCACCAACTAACACCGTGTCCTACTGCAGGCACTGGTGAAACCCTACAGAAATCCAGTAGTAGTGGAGATGAGGCTTCTCAGTTCCCAGAAGCTCTCTCTTCTGCTCATTTTAAGTTTTGTGGACATAGTACTATGATAGCTTAGAGTTTAACTCTTGAACAAAGAATTATTATTGCTTGTAAATTAGTCATCAAAAAATGTATTGTGTTGATGATCTTGTTATATTGCTACTGCAGTCAAATACATGTCGTGTTCCTCCCAGTGGTCTGTACCTGCTGCCTGCTTCAGTGTTCCTGAAAGCTTTTTCTTCCTTTCCTTATTAGCACAGCAGAATTAATGCAGGTCATGTTTTTTATCCTTGGTTCTTTTCAGTGTTAATGCTTGGTAAGTTTAGTGAGAAGAAAAGAGTAGCCTTTATTGTCAAAGCGAACTTATTGGAGGCATAAGATTATTTATTTCCCCTCCTTAAAATGGGTTTCTGTCATCTCATTTTCTCCACAGTTGTGTTTATTCTCCTTTTGTGTGGTTTTTATCAAATGCAATATGATCTCAAAAATTTTGAAAACGAATAATCTTTATTATTATTTATTTCTTTAGGACTCTTCCTTTATGTCCAATACTGGTTTTGTGTCTCATGTTTTGTGTAAGCTGCAGGTTTTCTAGGGAAGAACTTCATGGCTTGCTACGGTTGAGGCTGCAGGACACTACTGCATTTTGAGGGATAATGAATACTACTAGTAAGATAAACCATATAAGCTGTCAACCTCAATGCTATAGTGACAGAGATGTGTTGTAAGTTGAAGTTTTATACAGGGACTCAAGTGCTTTTCTGTCTGATTTCTGATAGCAAACGGTGGTGAGGGGGAGTCATGTTTCAGAAGTTTATTTGGGCTTTATGTTTTTCTGTAGATGATTGCATCGCAGATCTGAAGCAGCGGGCAGAGGTGGCATCCAAACAGATCAGTGGAGCAATGAAGGTGAGATCTCTGTGTGCTCCAAGAGGATATGGTTTTATTTTCTTGATCTGATAAACAGTATGTCACAAAACAGGAGTTCTAACTCATCTTCATTGTAGTTTTGTACAAAAAACCAACATTGGTGTGTGTACTTTTGAGGCAGGTACATCTTAAGGTCTGGACTGCTGAAGTTGCATCTGTAAAGCATTTTCCCCTCACATGGTAGTAAAGAAGATTACCCTGTGGCTATGGGAAATACTTTTTACAGGGATATTGGAACCTGCAGCATCTGAAAAATACAATGTCTTTTGAGGACCTGTACTGCTTCGTATGGAGAGTAATGTTTATTACTTCAGTACCTGCTTAGGCATCAGCTGTGGTGTCCCTATGATACTCAGAGATGTCATGAGGGGACACTTAAACTTGGCATGCTCTTTGTGTGGCTTCTGAGCACAGACCCTCGTCACTATTGGGCTGGTAACTCTCTGTTCCTAACCTTCCTCTGCCGCCCTGAGGATTCTCTCTGCAGACACTGAAGCTTTCATGCCTGTCAGAGTCCTAATGTATTTCATTCATTGTAACCATTACTTTTCCCATGTAACCTGAGATACTTGGGTTTGTTTTTGCAGTCTCTCACAGCACTCATAGAAAAAGCAGAAGGTTTTTCCCAAGCATTATCTTGGCAACCAACCCTGGAGCTCAGCAAACTGCGGCAAGAAGTCTTTGCTGGTTGCAAGACGAAGGAGGAAAGCAGTGTCCAAATGTTTGTACCACCAGGAGAAGTCACACCACCAGATGCTGATACCAGTAAAAATCCTTATGTTCTGCGGAAAAAAAGGAAAGCTGCAGATTCCCCAGGAAGAAGACGCTACTCACTGCGACCGAGGAAGATCACTCTCCGCGCCTGAATTCCTCATTTTGGATTGTCAGCTTGGATTATCAGTTGTACTCTCGTTTTGTGTGCTCCATCTTTTTTCTTGAAATTCATCTCCCCTCAGTGCTGTACGTGGGAGATTCCTAAGTTAGTCTTGGATCCTTTTAAATATTTCAGTTTTTACTGTCACACTGACGGTGTACGAAAGCCTGTGCATACCAGGAGCATCCGATATTCAGAAAGTGTATTTGCCAATTAACTCATTTTTTGCTCTTCTTAATCGCAGCACTTGGCTTGAGTCCTCACACTTCTCAGAGTTCATATACATGTTCTTTGTATGTGTGCAGTCTTTCAGGAAACCACTAAGTGCTCGCGTAGATTCAGCATGTCTCTAAAGAGAATGTCTAGTTCTCCTAATGCTCCTCCATTAATTGCTGAGTCAGGTGGCTTTTATTTTAATAAATTAATTCACACAGGAGCCTATTGAAAACACCAGATTTGATATGATGTTACAGTCTTTAGAAAATCCATGCACAAATACGCCATTGGTCCCTTCCGTTCTTCTTTTCCTGAATGTAGCTCATCTGGACTTATTTATAGTCATGTTTGTTTAAACTTGTAAATTTAGTAATTGTATGCATTTCCTTCTACTGTGGTGTTCTGAATAGAAATTTAACCATCTACGCCCTGGGACCTGATATTTTGTTTCATGTAATCCAGTTACGCAGTCTGGGGGTTTCCTGGACAATATATCTGCACATCGCAGGACCTTGGCATGGGTCATGTATGCATTTGTGATGCTTAACTAACTTTAAAGATCAGTGCAGGCTACCAGTAAGGGGTGTTCAGCTGAGCTAGCTTATTTACACATTAGTACCTAGAGGATTGCACAGTAGTACTAAATTGAGCATTGTGCCTTAACAATAACTTTTTCTGGTTTGTGGTTGCATGTGTAAATATTCATGTTTAATATGTAACACAGTAAATGGAGGGGGTTTTTAGAAGCTTTTTTAATTAAATGTTCTGTGCTGAGAAGGTAGATCCAACCTAGTGTCTTAAGACTGAAAATTGTCAGGAAAATGTGACAGATTTTAGTGTGATTTGTTTTGTGAAGGGGAGCATCTGTACTGAGACTCTGTGTATGTAATCCTGTGTAAATATTTTCTTGTATATACAAGTACATGGTTTTATATAAAGTAAATTAAATCATTGAAGGAAGAGCAAAGTTTCAGATAATGTTGTCGGTTCTAATCCTGGAGTGGATGGTGACTGAGCAGTGAGCATACTTCAGAAGACATCTCTTAAAATTTGACTTGAGTAACTGAAGTAGTTCCATTTACTGCCTTTGAACTCATAACTGCTATTAATCTCAGGGCTACAAAGCATCTCATGTAAGAGAGAACAGGATGTGAGAGGGACTGGAGCTGCAAAGCTGTGGAACGTGTGACTGAGAGCTTTTCACACAGCAGCTTGCTGTTTTAGCTGCTGTGAGTACCTGTGTTCTGTGCTGCATTGAAAATCCCACCATGGCTTTCTCCATCTAGAGCCACAGATACTCTTGAGTGTTCTAGAGTAAGGTGAGCCTTGCAAGATTTTGCATTATAGTATATGAACATTTTTGTTAATAGGAAGATTCTCTGCTCTTTTCTGCAAATGATGGGCAAGTACAAAAAAGTAGCTAAGAATAGGCACGTGTTTGAAGAGTTCCTGTGAAAAATGGCTGAGGTGGGACAAGCACCTTAAGAAATAAGGAGGGAAAGGACTATGGATTAAGACTTGATAAGTGAATTAATGGATTCACACTACAGTGACACCAAGTCTGACAGAGTTGGAAGTGTTTGGACAATGCTCTCAGGCATATGGTGTGATTCTTGGGGATGTCATGGAGTTGGACTTGGTGATCCTTGTGGGTCCCTTCCAACTCAGAATATTCTGTGATTCTGTGATAGTTGGTCTGCACAGGATTTGAAGCAAGTGGGAATGGATGCCCTGAGCTAGGGCAGTCAAGCTTTGTACCATGGCCCATGGGTAGAAGAAAACAAATAAATCTGGAAATGCTGACCAAATGAATAGTGTAAAGAAAGATAAAACAATCAGGGTTCCAAGTGCAACATATAAACTATGAGTTTAAGAATCTCTGATGGCTCCTTTCAGCCAAGCAGCATGGGAAGGTGTCAGAGGACCTCCCTTTAAATGCAAGTTCTGTGATGAGCTAAACTCAGCACTTGAATGTTCAGCAGTTTTTCAAATGGTTATTAAAAAATTCTACAGCTAGTGATACCTGCAACTACCTGTGCTTGAAATCTATTCTTCCCACTGGCAGAAGTATACAAACCACTTCATTTTCTTCCCCATTCCTGTAGCTTTTTTTGCTTTGGTTGACTTTTCAAAGGAATAGGCAGTGTTGTGCAAGACAAGTGTCTAATCAGACTTCTACTGAAATGTCACAACATCCAAGCTTCTTATTTTTAACTTGGGGCAAATTGGTATTGCATCAAGAAATGTCTGGTAGTTTTTCTTTATATAGCCTTTGACTTTTGTAAGAGCTCAGTGGCGATGGATACTTGGGAACATTTGCAAACTAAGTTTGAACTTCTTGTCTTTCTGGGGTGAGATGGAACAGCTCACTGTCTGTAAGCATGTGCTGTCCATGATGTGCTTGTTGCTCATGAGGCTGGGCCAGCCCCTTGCCAACTGGAGCAGTGTTCATGCTGCTTTTGCTGTGTGTAGTTTCTGAACAAAGAGGTTTACAAACAGGGTGCAGGGAAGCTCCTCTTTCAGAAATCTTCATGTGGACCCTGACATCTGTTTGGAAGCCTGTGCACTCTGAGACCCAGTTCTGAGACATGCTGTTCTCCAGAAGGGCCACACTGTGCTGAGGTGCCATCAGTGACTCTAGTCTGCCTGTGTGTAGGCTGCTTCAGTGCAGACAAAAATCACTGATAAACTGCCATTATAAAATGTAAACTCAGCTGACTCAATGCTTTCTGGGTTTGTTTTCTCTCCTGCATAGAAATGCTCTGCCTTTACTGCTGTGCTACCTGGAATTACTGTGTAGGCATTTCTACAGATGTACCAGAGATAGCTTCAATGCTGAGTAGAAACTTGGTTCCATGAGCAAATTTTGACTTGTCATTTCCTTTGCCGTTTGTTCTGAACAAGAACAGACTATTGAGGCTCGAGGGGACTGTCCCCTGGCTTGTCCCATACTTGTGGTATCCTGGAAACCTCATTCTGCAGCTGCTGGGAGTTATTCATTGAAGTAGATATTTATTCAGCACTAATAAATTCTTGGTGAGTTGCTCGGGATGTGATGCTGTCAACCTGCTTGTGCAGGTGCCATTCACAACAGTGTTGCTCCTGGAGTAGCACGAGAGCTTCCTGTGGGGTCAGTTCAAAGTCCCTGCATGGAAGGGGACTTTTTTCCCATAGATCACTCTGAAGGGCTGTTGAGGTGTTTTGTCCACATAGTTCAGAGGTTTTATTGCAAAAGAATATATCTGTTCCCTGGCTTATGAAAATATTGGCAACGGGCATATACCGACTTCTAGTCCTGTTTATTTCAGCTGTGCTTCAGTGACAAAGGCAGCAAGACCTCAGTTGCTCAGTTTTTAAGCAACTGTTCAAATTAAGTCTCTGTGTGCTCATGCCCACTCCGTGTCTTTAGCTGCATGAGGTGTAGTTAATGCCAGATTGGACTATTTCAAAGGAGCAGTTGAGAGCAATTCACCCTCCAATCACTCACTGCCTGGTGGCTAGGCTGCCTTACAGGAGATGCTGATTTGGATCCCATCTGCTGGAGAACTGCACTGAACCCACACCTGCTGCCCTCATGAGCACCCTCTAGGTGAGCATCCTGCTCTCAGCACATTGGATGATGGAGGAAGGGAGAAGCAAGACTGGTGTTAGAGATACAACGGGGCTGAGAGCATCCTTTAAGATGCTTGGGAATGCCAGCATGGTCTGAGGACAAAGGTAATCAGGGTGTATTGGCAAGGGTGTCCATCCCTGCTGTGGTTGCTGTGGCTTTTAGGGTGGGGAAGACTCAGGTACTCAGTCCCCTGGGGTTGGAGGAGCTCTGAGAAAGTGCAAAAGCAAAAGTGTGGGTAGCCTGAAAGATGGTGACACTTGTGCTGCTTTGAGGTGGAACAGATCGGGAGAAGCACTTCCCACCGGGAAAGTCACACTCAGGTCTTTCAGTCATGTCTATGATCCCAGAGCCTACCAGGAAACTTGTGGTAAAGTGCAGACTTCATTTTGACTCTTGGACTCCCAGGCAGCAGTTCTCTCACCTTCAGCGTGAACTATTAGCCAGATCTTCCTGAAAGGAGAGTCTATATTTACTCAGTTTGTAAGCTTTTTCACCCCATCTTCATCTAAGCTGCATGACTCAGGCTTCCAAAAAAACCCAGAAAAATAGGGAAGTATCTGATTTATTAGGATATCTGGGGCTTTGTGACTGACTGTCTTCAAGTTTGGGAGCATGTCCCCTCCTCACATGGCCGTGTGTTTGACCCTGTGAGTTGGGCACTGCCAGGAGGGCACAGTAGCTACAAATGCAGTAGAGCCAGAATGTTGTTGAAGTACCTGTCAGTGCAAACACCCCTTGTCAGAGCAGAGGGCCAAACTAATGGGGCAATTAAAATGCCAGGAAGGTGTTTGGAGGGGTAAAAGAAACATTGTTCAGTCTGTTAAAGTACTCTGGACAGAAGAGCGGGACAGATTTTTTGTCTGCAGCCAGTGCGTTTTCAGCAGTCTGGCTTTGCCTTTACAAGAAATCTGTGGCATTTCCTTATTATTTAAAGGAACAGGGCGAGTAGCGAAAGTGAAAATCGCTGTATCCCGGCACGGATGCCGTGTCCTTGCGCCCGTGACCCCGGGCTCAGGCGGCCGTCCCGGATCCGGAGCTCGGGCCGCTTCCCGGGGCCGATGTGGCCGG